GATTCAGCTGCAGCATTGTATAAACGCGTCCTTCTACAAGAACTTTTACTTTATAGTGAAATATACGATAAATATGGTGAAGATGGGTTCTCTGGCGGAGGTGGTTCTATGTCTCCAGAAGAAGTGTTTGCAAGCTTATTTGGTTTTGGTGGTAAGTATCTTGTATGCATTTGTAAGTATTATTTATATCCATATTTATTATATTAAATTTGCATAGGGACTGGATATTCCAGGCAAAAGCGAGGCAAAGATATTATCAAACCTTTTAGTGTCACTCTTGAAGATCTTTATAATGGCAAGACAACCAAGATTTCGCTGCAGAGGGATGTCGTATGCTCATTATGTCATGGGTATATAAATTATATCAATAATGCGTTCTTTTCCATATTTCTTTTCAGAAGTTTGATTTTATGTATCTCTTTCAAATTTGTAGGAAGGGTAGCAAATCTGGTGCAACCAAAAAATGTCATAGTTGTGAGGGTCGTGGTGTCAGAGTAGCTATGCGACAAATTGGACCTGGCATGATTCAGAGGATAAACACAGTTTGTGCAAATTGTATGAATAAGAATAAATCGATTTGTCAATTCTATATTATCTTACTATTCCTGACTTTTGTACTTGTGTTAATAAAGGCGACGGTACAGGTGGAGTGATTAGAGAGAAAGATAAATGTAAAAAATGTAAGGGTCTCAAGGTTGTGGAAGAAAAAAAGAAATTAGATATCTATATCGAAAAGGGGATGCAAAACAATCAAAAAATTGTTATGCAAGGTGAGGCAGATCAGGAGGTAATATATTATATTATTATTATTAACTCTATTATATAGTAATTTTGCTTAGTGGTTTATATTACATCGAGCATGTTTTACTCAGATAAACAAACTAACATATACATTAACATATATACTCAATGTATACGCATCGGCATTAGTCTCAGTTAATTTTATTGTGATAATTACAATAACAGACATCTCATAAAAACCAAATAAAGAGGTGAGAAATTGTTAAGATTTACCCATACCACGAGCACGACATCGTTCACAATACCAGGTATCGACTTCAACGTAGCTAGGGCCGAAACCAGTGCATATTCCGTGAAACCAAACTTGACAACCGTCGCATGAAAGCATAAAGTTTCCATCGTCAATTTCTGAAAATGGATATGGACAAATGCAATTAATGACTTCAGGCGGATCGGCAACACCAACGTTGGACGGATTATTAACGAGTTGTGTTTTTACTGACGAGGTTGAAGCTACAGAGGAAGCGGCGGGCGCAACGTCAATTGGGGATACCTTTCCGAGGCGAATCCTAAGTTTCGTTGCTCCAGTTGTCGTTGAAGCAGGTTTATCATCGGGTACAAGAGCAGGTTTTG